TGCTCAAGGCAAGCAGCGCCGGCAACAATAGGTGGGCATGTCTGTAGCCTTGCAGCGGCGCATTCGAAATGTACGCCGGCAGTTGCGCAGGATAGATGCCACGCCAGAAAAGGGAACAAGATTTGCAGGATTGGCAACGGAGGAAGGTTTCGCAGCTCCAGGTGCTTGGCAGCTTGCCAATCAGCTTGTCCTGGCTTTTGTGTACAGCGATCACTGCAGCGCAGCAGCCGCAGATTTTCTGCGGAGCCACGGAAGGCGACAAAAGCGCTCTTGGAAAATGGCCTTTGAAGATGCTAAGGAAGCTGTGGAGTGGACATACATTCATTATCCTTTGCCTGAACTAGTCAAGCTGACGCAGTCCCCGCTGTCTTTGTGCAGCCAGACGCAGGTGCTACACGCCGCGAGGTATGTGACAGAGTGGCGCTTGGTCGCTTGGCTTCTTAAACAGAACCGGCGAGGTATTGCGCCGAGCCGACGAATGCTTGCAGACGCCGCCGTTGCGGCCGTACCTGCTGCTGTGCCAGAGGAGTTGCGGCAAAGCCTCACACGCCGGCTGCGCGGAAACGCTCGGCAGCAGCGCAAGTGGTTCTCCCGCTTTCGCGCAACATGGCGGGCTCGCCTGGGCAGATTGCGCTTGCAACATGTTGTCCCGCAGGAGGAGATGCGGCAGAAGGCCAGAAGTTTTCAAACTTCGAGCACCCAACCAGTGCCTGGGTGTTTCTTGAAGGCCTACAAACCAGGGCCCGGAAAATGGGTCTTGAAACAACCCCCCAAAACCAGCTTGCAGGGGTCCTTCTTCAAAAGTTGGCCGCTGCTTCATTGGCCAGAGCGCTTGCTTCTTGTGGTGCTTGATTTTGGCCCCCTTGCTTCAATTTCTGGGCTTTTTTCGAAGATGTTTTCCGAGCCCCGCGTAAGTGCTCTTCCGTCAAAGGCAGTGGCGTTTTGGAAGTGGTGCAACTACACGGTCGCTTGCGCGGCTGATGTTGGAAAAGAGGCGGTTTTTGTCAACATGGACGAGACCAGTGTTGGCTATCCACACAGTCTTGTTGGAACAGTCATGGCTGATAGATCACACACATGCGTGGAGCACGCTACTCTGTCGCAGCGGCGCGCGCGGATTTCGCTCTTGGCTTCCATATCTTCCGACGCAAGGTTGCAAAGCCATCTTCCACAACTCATTTTGGCAAGCGAGAAGCAGTTGACCAAGAAGGTGCTGGCGTCGCTAGAGCCTTTGCCGCCCAATGTTGTTATACTTCGCCAGAAGAGTGCCTGGAATTCGGCGCAGGGAATGTGCGTGTACATTGGTATGCTCAGGGACGCCTTCGCAGGCCACATCGGTGACAGAACTTTGGTCCTTTTGGTGGACACTGCAAGACAACATGTCCATCCCGACATCTTGCATCAAGCGCAAGTGTGCCAGATCAAGCTTCAGTTTGTGCCAGCGCTCATGACGATGCATCTCCAACCTTTGGACCTGGTGGTTTTCAGCGTGCTGAAGCGCTCATTCCAAGAGCTCTGGCGTGAGACGCTGGAGGATTCTTGCTCAGCCAATATGGAGCGCTTGTTGCTGGGCAAGTGGCCCAATTGGAAAAAAGTACTGCAGGGCAGTTGCAACATGGGTCGTGGAGCGTGCCATGCTTTGCTGCCGTTGGCAGGTGTGCGGCAAGCTTCCACTGTAAATGGAGTGCGGCGCCCAGCCATGCTGTTGTTGTCACTGGCCTTGCTCCAAGCGCGTTCGGGTTTGACTGTGAGCTTCTTGGCCTGAGGCGTTGCTTGGTTGTGAAGTTTAGTCGAGGATGAGCATCAATTAGTTGTTTTGGAATTCCCTTTAGCCTGGGGGTGTGTGGCAACTGGCCTGTTTCCTGTGAGCCTTCGGCTTACTCGCTGACCGGTTTGTGGGTGTGAGACACCTTTTCTTGAAGTTTGAGATCTGGAGCAGGTCTCTCTTTTGTTTCAGGGTTTTTGCCCTGACTTGTAATTTCGCTCAAGCGTTCCAACGACTGCACCAGGGATAATGCTTCCTTTTGTTTGCCATGTTTTTTGGCTCTACTCTTTTTGCTTTCGGCTGCAGCGCGTGTGCTTGCGCGTGTGCTTGCGCGTGTGCGTGGTGTGCTTGCGTGCGTGGCGCGCGCGTGCTCGTGTGTGCGTGCGCAAGAGCTTGAAAATCCCTTCTGTCCAAATGAAGAACATGACGCAAATGAAAGTGGGGCAGACTTTGTGACATGTTCATCCATATCTGCTAAGGAAACATTTGTTTGATGCGGGCGATGTGCGCCTGAAAGGGCGCGATTCAATTACATGCAAATTCTTTGACGTCTGTCGAATTTCAACCGCATTCAAAGTGCCTTGCTGAGAGCGTGTGCATTATCGGTGTGTCCTATTCTTGAGCCCAGTGGCAATGTCACGCTCATGCTGAGCTCTCGCAGGTGAAGGAATGTTTTGAACAAGCAAGCCTGACCGCCAATCATTCTTCGATTGCAGTTGTGCAGTAGCCATTTACGGAGACTGCGCTTGAGCAACTTGTCGATGTCACGGCTCATGCTGCGCAGTTGTCAACAAGCTCTGCAGTGTTTTGGAGCAATCAAGCCTGACCTCCAATCGCTGCTGGCGTTGCAGTTGTGCAGCAGCCAATTGCGGATACTGCGCTTTGAATAATTTTGTGGTTGTTTTGAAGGACAGCAAACCCTAAGGTGCACGCAGAACCGGAATTGGAAAATCAGCGGCAAAAGCACTGGTGGCAGAAAAGCAGACCTTGGAGTTTAAATTCACATTGCCGGAGGGGATTGTTCGAGAAAGTGTCTTTTTTTTTGGTCTGCAATGCAGATGCTCTGTCCCGTTTGGACGCTGCAGAGCTGCAGATTCCCCCCCGGGCCCGACAGATGTTGCTTGTTAAAACTTTTGGGTCTTGGTTGTGTGGCCGTTTACGGCCATTTGTGTGTGACTGCGTGTTTGTGTGCGTCGCGAGGGATCTCGCTACTGTGATCGATTTTAGTTTTTTGGCGCGTGGTCATTGAAGGCCAAGTGTGTGCGGAAACGCGTTGCCTTTTATCGCACGTTTGAGGAACCCCTTTGCTTAGTTTGTTGTGGGGAGAAACCGTTTGGAAATATGTGTTGAAACCTCAGTTTTTGTTTTGGCCCAGAATGGCCTGGTTTGCAGTTGGCGGTGCTGGTGAGGGTGCTGTTTGGGGCACTGTTTGTGCTGCTGGTGGGATTGACGGCTGGGAGCTAGCAGGCATGCGGGTGACAGCTTTTTTTTTTTCAGATTTGCAGCTGGGAAACTGGCGGCTGGTGGCCTGAAGGGACGCAAATCTAGACAGCGTGAGCGTCTTGGGCGTGTCAGGCTTTCTTTTTTGCGATGGCAATGCTTGTTGTTCACGGGGCGCAAAAGCCCGTACACGTGTCCTTCGCATGCCACACTTGTGCTGAACGGTTCCGATTTTTAAGCTGGAGCTGTCAAAGCGCAAACGCCTTGTAGAAACAGCAGGAGCACAAGCAGGAAGCGGCGCCCCCAAGCGCGTGCTTTTTTCGCGCCCGTTCCGCGCAGCTTTTCTTGCCGTGAAGAGGCCGCCCTTAGCCTCCGCAAGCCCAACGCCCAGGCACGGGTGCGCTACTGTTTGCGCTGCTGTGTGCCACAACTTGAGTTGTCCTTCAAGCGTCACGTATGTGTCCGTGCGCTCGTGTAGTTTTGCTCGAGGGGCAGCCGCTATTGGTAGCTGCCCCGCGTCAACTGTAGCGGTACCATGGCAAACGCGCATCAGGCGGGGCAACTGCCTCCCTGTCCCTCCCCCGCGCCCCCACCAAAACAAAGATGTCAGCGCACAGGCGCCTGATCTTACGCAACGTTATTATTGTTATTTTGCGGGGGCCATGGGGGAGCAAGGCCGATTCAGAAGTTAGGGTGAAGGGAGCGAAGCCTCCTGATTGTGTCTCTTCCGCGCAGGCCGCCGAATCGGCTGCTTCTTCTGCTTCTTCTTCAAGTACTTCGTCATCCTCGGACTCTTGCGACTCGTCCAGCGCAAGCAGAGATGTGGAGCCTGAACCTGACGACCTGTTTTCAGAAGCAGACAGCTCTGAAGAGGAGGGTGAAGGTCAGGGAGATGCCATTGACAAGTTCCCCGACTTGAGGTCTGCCACCCGTCAGCTCAAGTATGCAGGCTCCACCGTGCACTTTTGGACAGTTCCGCACTCTGACAAGGCCGAGGCCATCACTGCAACTTCGAGCAGCAAGAAAGTGTTTGCTCGTGCGTTGAAGGAGGTGTATGGCGACTCCTTGGCCCACTATTGCATTGTCACCGAAACCCACCCCAGTTCCCGACGTGGCTGGGAACGGAGGATGCATTGGCACGCCATCCTGAAGCTCACCCGCCGTGTGAAATGGAAGCTGCTTGCAGCTAAGTTGCGGGGGCGTGGCTTCTTCAGCCATTTGGCTTTGCCGCAGCTGAACGCGGACTTCTGGCGTTGCCTCCGGTACCTTGTGGCCCCTTCGCTTCGCAAGGGCCAGGCGCGATGTCGAACAACCTAAGTGTGGCATGTTTGCCTTCTCTGAAACTTGCCCGCCCTGTCAGGCGGATCTGGACCCGGACCCGTACTTTTCGTCGCGCTTCCCATTGACCGAGATGGAAACACGCATGAAGAAGTTCTTCCAAACAGCGTTTCGCCCAAGCGACATGTACAACACCATCAGAAGGCTAGGTGCCCGAATTTCCTCGTACCAAGATCTGGTGGCTTGGGCGCAGGAACAGCGGCGCCGTGGTGACCCCCGGTTTGAGCAGTTCATGGCGCGCCAGGGGCCGAAAATGCCTGCTTTGTTTGGCAGCTGGCAGGCCCTGATGGCCAAACCCATGTCTGACTACCTGCAGCGGGAGAAGCGATTGCAGCTGTGGAACGCAGCAGTGCAGGCTCCCTGCGCTTGCCCTACGCCACAGCGCTTGTCGCAAGCCTTGAGCTCTCTGATGGACCACCACCAAAAAGACCCAGGAAGATGGGCCTTCTGCGTCAAGAAATTGGTGCGTGTTTCTTTACGGCGAGAGCAATGCCGGAAAGACTGGGCTGACACGGCCACTGATTCACATCTTTGGCGATCGGACTTTTCTCCGACCAAACCGTGGCGACACCTTTCCGTTGCAAGGACTGGAGCAACACCTTGTGGGGGTGTGGCAGGATTGGAGGCTTGCGACCAGCCCCATCCCATGGGATACCTTGCTGCTGTTGCTGGAGGGCGAAAGCGTGTCAGCAGCTGTGAAGGGCGGAGCTCCAGTAATTGTGCACCATCCTCCACCATTCATCATCACCAAGCTGGCTGCATCGCACTCAACAAGTGTTCCGCAATGCATTGGCCCTGTGCCAAGCCGTGCACCTACTGAACGCCAAAGCATTGGATCAGCAAATTGCCAGCATGTGCCTCACGCAGCCAGACCCCGCACTGTCCCTGCGCACAGTCACGACCTCAGAACTCTTGCATGCAGATCGCCAGATTTGGGGCACAATCGTAGACCTTCTGCATCGCAAATGGTCCATGGACGATGCCTTCCACGAACTCACGCATGGCCGCATGGAGATCCATTCGCTCCTCATGCTGCGACCTAAAATCTCCAAAGCCATGCCTGCACTACCTCCCGCTAAACGGGCCCAACTGACTCCCAGGCAGCCCAAACGGCCCGCCAGCCGGCCGCAAAAATCAGAAAGGCAAAGGCAAGGGGAAAGGAAAGTCCAAAAACGCCTGGGCTACCTCGCACAATGGAAAGCCTGTTTGCCGCAGATTCCAAACGGGGCAGTGCAAATCAGACAGCTGCCAGTTTGCACATGTGTGCGCGATAAAAGGGTGCCAGCAGACGCATCCGGCATCCCAGCACGCATCAAACCACACATGAAACAGTCCGACGGAAGTCCCGGCAACTTCCCTGGACGGTGCAGTACCGCCGGCCGCATCCAATGTGCCCAATCCCGCATGCCAACCCACACCTGCAGACGCCAGAGCCTCGCATACGCCCAGGGAGTGCGTGCACCAATTTCCGCGGCAGCAGACCAACGAGGCCTGGCGCGCTTCGAAGCCTTTGACCTGGACGCCAATCCTCAGCACAACATTCTGGATGACGCATGGTTCGAACTGCTTCTACGCATATGCTGGTCGGGCAGCGTTAGTTTGCTAACCCTAGCACCGCCGTGCAAGGAATACTCCCGGCTCAAGCTTAGGCCGGGCGGGCCCAAAGCGTTACGCACACCTTCATGCATGCTAGGTGTGCCCAATTTGTCACCAGCAGAACTCTCTCGGGTTCGCGACAGCCGCGAAATCCACAGAAGAGGACGAGAGCTGTTCAAAGCAGTAGCCTCACTAAGTGGCGTAGCAATCTTCGAGCAGCCACCGTCCAGCATGGCGTGGTTAGAGCCGGAAAATTTCCAGTGCTTACAAAACTTTCACGGGCACCTCGCATGGGTGGATGCGTGCCAACATGGTATGCTGCTCTCCAAATCATGGTGCTTCGCCAGCAACAATGCATGCATCCAGCACGTGGCCAGCAGATGCACGCATCAACAAAAGCACGCCAGCATAGCTGGAGTTCAGGGAAGCTCAGGCCAGTACCTGAGCACGCTTACAGCCGAATACCCGGCAAGTCTTGCAGCAAGTTTGATCAAACATTGCGCATTCAAAGTGAGCACGCAGCCCGAGGTCCGCCGCTTAAGCAAACCCTCCCCGCTTTCACTGCACCCCGTGCGCCTGCGGGTATGCGACGGAGCTGGCATGCATTCAACTGCAGACCACTCAATCCCTCAACCAAACCACCCGCTCACCATAGTCGCTCGGGCCTGGCTGCATTGGCTAAACGAACAAAAACTCATCCCAAAAATTCTGGCCCATGTGGGCTCCGGCAACGCATCCCCTCCTCTCTCGGAACAGCAATCCGAGGAGGCAGCACGAATAGCATTCCGCGCCATGAGCATGCCGTGCCCATCCGAGCTTGCGCCCGATGAAGGACAGCCGTACCGCCTATCACTTTTGCATGCCCTAGCGACGGCATCCAATGACCCCGACCTCAAACTAGTGCCGCTGCTGGCAGAAGGCGTGCCAACAGGGGCGGTGTCGGAGTTGCCGCGCAGCATGCAGTGGCCGCCAAAACCCCAGGCAGACCTGCCTAGTGAACTCACCGAGTGCATCGGCAACTGGAAAGCCGCTGAAGCGGAACCAGAAACAGTGTCCGCCTTGCTAGAAAAAGAAATTGCAAACGGATGGGTCGTTCGTACCAGCATGTCCATCGAACAAGCCAGACAGCATTGGCATAAAGGCATAGCAGTCGGGAAGCTCAACGTCGTGCATGCTGAAGGCAAAGACCCGCGACTAGTCTTAGACAGCACTGTGTGTGGGGTGAACCCCAAGTGCGCAATTCCCGAACGCATCAGCCTGCCAATGGCTTCAGACGTGCGCTTAGCCTTCCTCCCCGAGGACACGCACTCGTCCTTTGTGGGGGCAAGCTTTGATTTCAAAGCAGCGCATAAGCAGATCCAGGTGCACCCCAGTGAACATGGCCTGCTTTTGTTTCGGGTTGCCAATGTCCTGTACCATTATAGAGTGTGCCACTTCGGAGCACGCTTCTCTGCATACTGGTGGCAGCGCACCGGAGCATTCCTCCTGAGACTACTGCACGGCATTTTGGGACTGCACCCGCATCGCGCATGGTTGTTCGTAGATGACCTTTTAGCCGCACTGCGTCGCAATGACGCAGACTCGCAGCTGGCCCTCATGGTCATGTTTTTTGCAGCCATATCGGCCCCGATCTCCTGGAAGAAAGTTCAATTTCAGGACAACCTCACGTGGTGTGGGTGGCGCATTAATTTCCTGCACGAGACCATCGAACTCACGCCGGAAAAAACCATCAAATTGAAAGGACAGTTGCACGAGCTGCTCAAAGCAGGAAAGGTCAAGCGCAAACTCCTAGAGCAGGTTCTAGGACTTCTCATTTGGGCTACCAGCCTGAGCCCCGAACTCAGATCCTGGCTAGCGCCATTGTACACAGACTTGCACTCGCCGCCGGGTTGCATGCTCTCTGTCCATGCGCGTTTATGGCCATCTTTCCTGTCAGCATTAGACGCCAAAGCCGTGCTCAGATCAGCAGTGCATGGCATTTTTATGCCGGTAGGATCCAAAGTTCTAGAGTTCCAAGGGCCTTGCATTCGCACGCCAGCCGACCTGCCTCGCGTTGTGCCTAGCCACAAGTCCGCTTGGGTGCGCGTAGCGGACGCCTCCGCAGAACACACTCGCCTGTCCAAGATGAGCAAACACAGCGTAGAATGGCTGCTGCAATGCTTCCATCTCGACCTCGCATGCCCGCTGAGAAGCAAACCAATGCTGGCTTGCAAAGCCGCCGCGGATGCATGCGCCGAGGGCAGTATAGTAGGCATAGGAGGTTGGTTCATCTCCCGCAACTCCGTTGCGTGGTTCGCAGAGACATGGCAATTCCAAGAAGTCCAGGAACAATGGCCATGCCTGACCAAAGAAGCCCAGCGTTACATCGCATGCTTCGAAACCTTGGCCCAACTAGCACTCATGCGGATCGCGTGGTCCTGCGAGGGACAAGGCGTGCATGGCATTTGCATGCCCACAGGAACAGATAACACAGCTTCCGAAGCCGGTGTTAATAAGCTGTTCACCACTTCTTGGCCCTTGCAAGTCTTTGTGCAACTTGTTGCTGCCTGGGCCCATAAGCACAAATGGTCCGTGATCGCGTCACACATCCCAGGGGAGCACAACATCTGGGCAGACCAGCTGAGCAGAGGTAATACCTCCGCTTTCCAGGCTCGACCAGAAGCCAGAGTGCGCTTCAGGCCGCATGATTTCTGGCCTCACGCATCAGCTCTCACACTTCACCCTGCGGACGCACCGTGGAGACCCGAGCACGTGGCTGCTGCGCAAACGCACTAAAGAGGGGGTAAGGTGATTTGACCGTTTGCTTAGAACTCTAAAGTGGGGGTATTCCGACAGGCTCCGCATGAGATGCAGGAACATGGAGTGGACGCGCATCGTCACTCCACCTGCATCTCTGAGCCTGCACTTCTAAGCAACGCTCAAGTAAAAAAGCGCGTATCGAGTTTGCTCCGGTCGGTTGCTTTTTTCCCTGCATGTCCCTTTAGGCTTGAAGCAGTGACCAAGATTCTAACGCTAGGGGTTTGTCTTTTCCCCTGTGTTTTAATCTTGGTTGAATCTTCGGCCGCGTGCCATTTCTGCTTCAAGCCTTTTGGTAAGGGACATGCCTGGAGGGTTTGACCCCTCTTTCGTTCTTTTTTGAACCCACCCTCCCACCCTTTCACGGCCCAGGTGGCGTGCAGCCTCCACAAGGCCTGATAGAGGGACGCATGCAGCCGCATGAACGGAAGCTGGTCAGCCCCCAACATTTCGTCGGCTTACTGCATCTCGATACTCCCGCAGGACCATTTCGAGCATACGCAGCGAGGCCCACGCAGTGCACGCAAGCGCACATTGACGAATGCCATCGGCATTCTGCCAGCCCGGACTGGCCCCCCTGCAGGAGGACGCATCCTCCCATGCACACTTATGCACGCATTGCATACATGTGCAGCATACCCCTTTTTTCGTCTCACACCCCACGGGTAAAACACCCTGTGTGATGGTCGAACACGCAATGTTGACCTCAGGGGGTATTCCGACAGGCTCCGCATGAGATGCAGGAACATGGAGTGGACGCGCATCGTCACTCCACCTGCATCTCTGAGCCTGCACTTCTAAGCAACGCTCAAGTAAAAAAGCGCGTATCGAGTTTGCTCCGGTCGGTTGCTTTTTTCCCTGCATGTCCCTTTAGGCTTGAAGCAGTGGCCAAGATTCTAACTTGTGAGCACAATTGATTGTTCTTGCATTGGGGTCACTTGCTACATGGCGGGTGTTTTGATTGGGGCCCCGCTGGAATCTTTGCTGTCTGCCCAGCGACGTCTATGCCGACCATTTCGAAAGGTGGCGGATTTCGCGAGGCCGTTCTGAGAACGGCGTTGGACACTCGTCCTTGCTGCGACAGTTGTGAAACGAGCCGCGAGCGCGAGTGGGGATAAATAGTTCTGGACCTTATGAAATGGGGGGTCACCTTCTGATTTTCTGGAGGCAGAGTCGAAAAAGTCCATAGCATTTCCACCCCCCCCCATTCGCACACATACTAGCAGACACACCGCGGGCGGAGCTAGCCAATGGAGAGCGCGGGAGATGACAGTGGACATGTGCGTCCAGCGGAAGCGGCGGAAGAGGCGGGAGATGCAGATTGCGAGCCCGTGCTTGAGCCTTCTTCAGCAGTCGGCTCTTCTTCTACTCCAAGACTTAGCCCCGCAGCTACTTCTTCAGGCGCACTGACCTTGTAGCATATTCAGATCCACCATGGGCAGCAGGCGGCGCCTGCCGCGCGAGGCAGTAGGCAGCATCATCGGCATTAGCGTGTCACTCGATAAAGGTCTCTTCGCCCTGTGTACCGAGCAGCATGTTTGGCGTTTGAAGGAGCCACACATGCTGCGATCCAAAACAAAAAACAAAAAACAGCGAGGACTATCAGCAAAAGCACCGTCCTGCCGTTGAGCGTTGTAATAGCGCAACCTGA